CTATCTCCCTGTGGCTTTTTGACCTTTTCTGTCCAAACTGTGAGCTCATGTAGGGCATTCCTTGTCATTTGGATAATCCTTAATGATTAATTCTGACTTGATTGATTTAGGACTGTGCTTCTTATTCATTTTACTCTTGAGTAACTTGACTGTGGCTATAACTTTGATCCTCTCTTTCTTGGACTTCAGCTTCTTCGTGATTTCTACCATTAATTTCTTCCATTTCTGTTATCTAGAAAACACTTGAAGGCTTTTCCTCAAAGAGAATATGTAGCACTTCCTTTATTGGTTGTTAATTTGGGCTCCAAAACCAGTCTGATGATTGAAACCAAATACATAATACGAACAATTTTAAGTTTAGGCCTTGAACCCATCTCTTGAAATACTATTTTAATCTACCTGACTTTACCCAGAAATTTGAATTTAAATTTTACTTATTTTCTTATTTATTCACCTGCAGGAATAGTTAATGAATAATGAACTCTAGGTTATCTCTTCGGCTTGTTTTTGTATTTTCCTAATGTAGAATAGAGCACTTTTAGAAGTCTGTCTTATCCTTTTCAAGAATAACCTTGGTTTTACTCAGTTATTTGGCATCTTTTCCAAATATTAAGTGCTTTTTAATGTCTTTAAGAATTTGCCATCAATATTCACATCTTTTTAAAATTTTTAAAATATATTTTATTGATTATGCCATTACAATTGTCCCATTTCCCCCCATCAATCCCCTCCACTCCGCGCACCCCCTCCTGCCCATATTCCCCCCTTTAGTTCATGTCCGTGTTTTATAAGTTCTTTATCTTCTACATTTCCCGTACTATTCTTGCCCTCCCCCTGTCTATTTTCTACCTACCATCTGTGCTACTTATTCTCTGTACTATTTCCCCCTCTCTCCTTTTCCCACTCTCCTGTTCCTAACTCTCCACATGATCTCCATTTCTGTGGCTCCGCTCCTGATCTAGCTGTCCACTTAGTTTGCTTTTGTTTTAGGTGTGGTTCTTAATAACTGTGAGTTTGCTGTCCTTTCACTGTTCATATTTTTTAAACTCCTTTTTCTTAGATAAGTCCCTTTAACATTTTATATAATAAGGGCTTGGTGATGATGAATTCCTTGAACTTGACCTTATCTGAGAAGCACTTTATCTGCCCTTCCATTCTAAATGAAAGCTTTGCTGGATAGAGCAATCTCGAATGTAGGTTCTTGTCTTTCATGACTTGAAAGACAAGAATACTTCTTGACTTAGAATACTTCTTTCCAGCCCCTTCTTGCCTGTAAGGTGTCTTTTGAGAAATCAGCTGACAGTCTGATGGGAACTCCTTTGTAAGTGACTGTCCCTTTATCTCTTTCTGCTTCTAGAATTCTCTCCTTCATTTTAATCTTGGCTAATGTAATTCTGATGTGCCTTGGTGTGTTCCTCCTTGGGTCCAACTTCTTTGGGACTGTCTGAGCTTCCTGGATTTCCTGGAAGTCTATTGCCTTTGCCAGATTGGGGAAGTTCTCCACTTATTTGTTCAAATAAGTTTTGCACTTGTTGCTGTCCCTCTTTTCCTTCCGGTACCCCTGTAATTTGGATGTGGGACCATTTAAAGATGTCCTAGATGTTCCTAAGCCTCTCCTCATTTTTTGGGGGGATTCTCGTTTCTTCATTTTTTTCTGTTCGGTTGTTTCTTTCTTCTTTCTGGTCCACTCCCTTGATTTGAGTCCTAGTTTTCTTTCCCTCACTATTGGTTCCCTGTGCATTTTGCTTTATTTCACTTAGGCTACACTTACTGTAGCCTAATTTATTCATCTAATTTGTGACCAAAATCAACCAGTTCTGTGAGGATCCTGATCACCAGTGTTTTGAACCGTGCATCCGATAGGTCGGCTATCTCTTTGTCACTTAGAAGTATTGGCTGGGGCTTTGATCTGTTCTGTTTGAGCCATAATTTTTTGGTCAGGTTGCACTTGTTATGTATGAAGGGGCAGAGCCTTAGGTGTTCACCAGGGCGGGTCAACCCAGTCACTGGGTTTTGACATGAAGCGGGGGTGGAGTCAGAGAGGGAGCAGTGGCTCTTGTTCTGCTCTCTCTTAGATTTCGGTCCCCTCTGCCACTTCCCACAAGCAAATTGGGCCCTTTTGGTGCTGGTTTCCAGGTGTGTGGGCTTGTGTACATTTCAGGACCCTGTGGGTCTCTCCAACGAACTCTCCTGTGATGCTGGGAGCCTCTCCCAGCACCTCAACCCCCCAAAGTTTTTCCAGTCTTCCGTCACTGGGTCCTGGGTTGCGCGGTTTGTCTCACTGCCCGTTTTTGCTTGGTTTATGTGCACACAAAAGCTTTTGGTGCTATTTAAACACTCAGAGATATAATAACTGTCTTACAAAATTCATGACTGTGTGACAGTGATACGGGATAATCCTGTACACCATCATGTTATTTTACTCTCATTTCCCCCGAGGGAAGATTTACATGGAGCAGTAATCTGCTTCTGCTGCTTCTTGCCCCTTTAACTTTCCTTCAGTAGCCCTATTATTTTCTAAATTAATTCTTAACTTATGAGTGTGGAAAACCAAATAGGACCACCAGCTCATTGTAAAGTCATCTGTATATTCAGGGACTTGGAAGAGGGGTAAAGAACTGCCATCTCCTCCCCTATTTTAAACTTAATGTATAATATATACTGATCTCCAATTTTGCATTTTAATTTTGGTACATATCAGGAAGCAATTTAAATGAAAATCTGCTCTTCCTGATCTTAGTGATCTGCCGGAGAAACTTGCTCTGGGACCCTAATGAATGGGGAATGACTAGCAACTTCATGTTTCTCTTCCACTTCAACAGAGCACCGTGTAGGTCAGGGCTGTCAAACTCATTTCCACCAGCGGCCACATCAGCCTCACCATTGCTTTCAAAGGGCCGAATGTAGAGCTCCTTGCCCCTCGTTAAGGAGTAGTTACATTTATACGTTTGGCCCTTTGAAGGCAGTCACAAGGCTGATGTGGTCCCAGGTGGAAATGAGTTCGACACCCTGGATGTAGGCCATCTGTGGTACTCTCAGTTCCAGATTACTTAGGTTTTCCTGAAGAGTGTACACTTACCTGTTTTCGAATACAAGCTCTCTAAGTTCAGCTTTAAAACTTGTTATAAAACTTGGTATGCCTTGTTATAAAACATATTGTTATATAACATATTGTTATAAAACATAAATCTGAATCTGCCACATATTCACTGTTGCTTTACTGTTCCCACTGCCTTAGCTTCCTGGGAACAAAAAACATTTCCTCATTAAACCTTTAATCTTATAACTCTTGTAACTGTCTGCTTATAACTCTCGTTTCTCTGGGGGAAAACGGACACTCAGACTAACAGTAGACATTTCTTTTGTCTTGCCCAGTCTGTCAGACTCCTTCAATGACTATTTCCAATACCAGCGCTCGGGGGAAGTCCTCATGTGAGTGAAAAGGGAGCGCGTGTGCTATATCTCCTTTATCTTGTTACATTTCAGGTGTTATTTTTGTTGACGTTTCTCCTCATTAAAGCCACGTGTGCAGTTACACTTTTCTCTCGATGTGGTCTTCATCTTCTAGGTGGATTTATTTGTGTGTTTTCCATAGAAATAGTTTTATCTCCCTTCTGTGAGTTTGGCCTCTCACCTTTTTCCTCATATTCTATATAGATAATTTCCCTACCTTCTTAAAAAAGAATACTTTGAAAACAATTTATTCATAACGATTCTTCATTCATGAGAATAAAGAATGTATCATAAAGATTTTTTTAACTTTTAATGGAAAAATATGAGTAGCATTTAGGAGCATGACATTAAAAGGGTAAAATACAGATTTATGTGTATTGAACAGGACAAGTCTCAAGGTATTTGTTCCTAGGAGAGAAATGTCTGGATATTATGTATAGCATAGCTCTTAGGCTTACTTTAAACATGTTATATATGTGATTATATAGGTTTAAAGAAGAGTCTAGACTACCTATCAAACTGTTCATAGTAGTTTTCTACTATTTACTGGCATTAAAAGAAAGATGAAATTCATCTTTTATTTCCTTTGTTATTTAATTTTTGCAACAAATATTCTAACCAAAAATTTGAAAGAGATGATAAAAGAGCAAATTTGCAATTTAAACAATTTTAATACTTATTTACTACTTTTTTAGAACTTTTATGTCAACTTCAAGTGATCAGGAATAATTTAACGCCCTTTAAGTTATTCATAAAATGTATAATTGAGCAGTAAAGTTGCTTATATTTTTTTATGTCTAGCAAAAAATACTAGAAAATGTATTGCCATGTGGTCTTAAATTAGATACTTTTAAAAAATAATAAGTTCTTTTATTATTATTTCTCGGGCAGAATGGAATAGCATAATTTAATACTATTCGAGCAAAATAGAAGAATTCAGAAACCTCTGATCTCTACCTCTTTCTCCTTCTCCCTCCTCCTTTCCTGCACCTTTCTCTTTCCCCTGCTCACTCCCTTACTACCCTCTTCTTCTTTTTCCTTCCTTCCTTCCCTTCTGCTCCTCCTACTCATACATGCGGTGATTTAAGGGGACAATAATAGGAAAAAAGGCACATGAAACCAGTAGGAGAGTATAATTTTGGTATTATTATTCCTGTGTTTATTAACAGACCAATACTGCTCTTAAATCAGTGTTAAGTATTTCAGTTGTATTAAATAATCTACCAAGTACATTAAGCTTAAAATGTGATTTTGTGAGAGTGCTTATCTGGCAGTAACATAAATTAGCTAAATAAATCTTAAAACATTCTCTAATTATTAATAGTTATTAGATGTGTCTGATAAATTTACTTTCTGAGTACTGATGAACTTGTAAAATGGGACTGACAATTTTCAGTGTGTTAAGCTAGCTTGTGTGAAGCCAAAAATGGTTATATATCATATGTCTAGTATTTGCAATCAATTGGGATATTTTTGGCAGGGGGAGATGGATATTATTTTTTTTGGTTTGTTGTTTTTTCTCTAAAAGTGTATCTTTCCATTTTTAGTGTACACGACAAATTATCTCTGAGAAGCTAGGCCGTGGATCAAGAACTGTGGACCTTGAACTTGAAGCTCAGATTGACATATTAAGAGATAACAAGAAAAAGTATGAAAATATTCTAAGACTGGCTCAGACATTGTCGAACCAGCTTTTCCAGATGGTGCATACCCAAAGGCAGCTTGGAGATGCATTTGCTGACCTGAGTTTGAAGTCACTAGAACTCCATGTAAGATTATTTTAAATAACTATTGGGGAGTGTGGGGAAGGAGAATGACGATAAGAGTATTTTGTTGATAAAAGGTAATTTGTTACATTTTCGATTTGCTAAAGTCTTAATGAAATTGGAACCTTGAGCTGTTCTTTTAAGGTATTTAATATAATTTTTAAGAAGGTCCAGTTGATTTCTGTTACCATAGTAAAACAGTATACTCTAGAGATGTCAGCTGGAGGCTTCAGGGGGAGGGAATGTAATTCGAGGAAGCAAAAAAGAATGTGCAGCCTGCTGGAGCCTAGAGAGAGAGTCAGCTGTGTGCAGCCGGGCGGGCAAAATATACCCGGACACCTGTCGGAAATCCACTCTTACCTGGTCTCCACGTGTCCTTAACAAACAGTGACTTGCTTGACTGCATTTGCGATGTACTTTGGTGATATCATGAATACAAATTGTCGATTTTAGAATAAAATTATTTTTTGCCTATGTTTCTAAGTATTCAACAGAGCATTTCTAACAGTTTCTTACAATGTCATGACTCCTTTTATGTCTTTTTTCTCACCTAAAAATACAGAACTTTCTTGCCTACAGACTTGTAACTTGAAAAGTTAGATAATTTAGAATATTAAATCATTTGATAATATCTAGAAACTTGGGCAAAGACAGTTGGCCAGAAATCACAGTACTCATCATAAAAGTGAAAAATATATTGAGCTTCAATTCTAACTGAGTCATTAGGCAAAAAGAAGAAGAACTAATTAATGTTTGGAAAGTAAAATAATCCTAATAGCTGCAATTATTGAGTGTCCACAATTGCAGTAATGGACTGGATGCTTTATAGCCATTATATCATGTAATTATCTAACAACACTGCAAGAACTGTTATCTCCATTTTATAGATGAAAAAACAGAAGCCAAGAGAGGTTAGGTAATTTTTATAAGATCGCAAAACAAATAAAAGGTAGAACTGGAATTTTTATTCTGCTCTTTTTCTGTTTCTCTGTGATCTCTTGCTGTCTCTTTAAGAGGAATGTTTAGAGGGTCTGTGACCCAGAGGAAAAACCCCACAGCACAGAAAGAGGCAGCCAGAATACAGAGTCTGGGGAGGCATTGCAACAGTGTTGTCAGTGATGCTACTCTCAGTAAACCCTACTAACTATAATAGCACAGATGGGGGTTACTATATCCCAGGTACAGGTCTAAGTAGCTTATATGTAAATTAACTTAACTAATGCTCAGTCTTAGCTAATAAGTACTTTTATTATATTTCTTTATAGGTGTGAAATTTTCTTTTTTACAGAACTAAAAGATTAATAATTTTCAGTATTCAGAAACTGGACCCAGTTTCCTGTTTGAGCATTTCTAACTCTTCATAAGGACTGATATTTCATGGCTTTTATTCGTTCTTTGAGGTCTTCCACTGAGGAAATTTACTTATTTTTTTAATAAAATTTTTTATCTTGCAGCTACCATATGGGTCCATTATAAATCAGTGAGACAGTGTGGGATTTTAAAGATCTAATTTTCCTATTTCTTAAATTATTTTGCTGTTTCATTATCTTAGGAATTATTTCATCATTACTCAGAGGAGAGCTTTTAACTGATTGGATGAGACCCACTCACTTTATGGAGGACAATCTACTTTACTTACAGTCCACCAATTTAAATATTAACCTTATCCAAAAACACCTTCACAGAAACAACCAGATTAACATTTGATCAAGTATCTGGACACCATGGCCTCACCAAGTTGACACATAAAAGTAACCGTTGCAGTTACTTTGGTGTAGTTGGTCACTCAACAGAAATTACTTCATCACGTGACAGTTTTGGACAAGAATCTGGACCATCCTGTTTTGCTAAAAAGACATGATCTATTGTTTTATGATGTTTGTGCACCAAGATGTACTTAATATGATTCATTAGTGAACAAATGCTGAAAGCAAGTGTGCATACAAAGTGATTTGAAGGATATAGATGATTCATGGACTTGAACCTTCTGATTGATGTTTATAAATGTAAAAATAATAGTAGAGTAGAACCTGTTGAAGATGCATTTGAAATCTGAAATCAGTATTAACAGGATGGCTGTTTTTGTACCAGGGTTTTCCAGAGAAATAGAACCAGTAGGAAATAGATGCATAGTACGCACACATACAGGTTTGTTGTAAGGAACTGCCCGATGACTGTGGGCGTTGGCAAGCCTGAAATCCGTAGTGTGGGCTCGCAGGCTGGAAATTCCAGCAGGATTTATGTTACAGTCTTACAGCAGAACGCCTTCTCCAGGAAACCTCCACCTTTTGTTCCTAAGGCCTTCAACCGTTTGGATGAGGCCATCCATATTATGGAGGGATAACCTGCTTAAAGTCAACTGTAAATCACATCTGCAGCCTTTATAGTTGTAAGAGTTGTTCACATCAACAAGATCTGTACCTTTGTAGCAACACCTAGACTGGTGTTTGACCAAACAAGTGTACCATAGTCTAAACAGCTTGACACAAAAAATGAACTATCACAATTCTTCCTTTCAATCTAGCACTTAGAGACATCTTGTGAACCATACTTAATCTCTAAATAGACAATAACAAAGTCTTACTTCCACCTAACATGATACAACTAATGTCCCCCCCACCCAAGAGGATCAAGAGGATGCCAACTCCTTGAGTAACATTCAGCTTTTCTCTTTGATACACTGTAACTTAAATACCACAATGTAAAGTTAACAGTACTTAAAATACTGTGATGTAAGTTAATATAGATTGTGTCGCATGATAAAGGGATAAGAGAGGGAAGGAAAAACAAAGGTATTTATTTTACCTTTGTTTTTAGAAGGTAAGAAGGAAGAAATACTCATGAAAATCAGTCCTCATGTCTACAAATGGTCACATGGTCAGAGCTGCTTCCACTACTCATTCCATTTGCCCTCAGCCAGCCCCTCAGCTTGTCATGGTTCTTTCCCTGGTGGGGTGACCCAAATCGTTGACATTAGTCACAGGGCAGATGTCCTAAGGGACCGCCTGTATTCTGCGTACCCTTTTTGTTACCTCCATTGCAGGAGGACTGCAATGGAGTAGCAGTCCAGCTGTCCCTTGGTAGGCAGAGTCACTCATGCCAGCCAGCACGGTGGCGCCCTTCTTTGCCATTGATTCTGCACGAGAACTTAGCAGGCGCCGTGGTGAAGAGCTGGTGTCCACCACCTCCCCTGGAGGCTGTGTTGACTGAGGCCTGTGGGAAACACTTGACACAGCGGCGCACAGTGGCACTGAGCAGATGAGGACAGTCGTGGTGGCTGTCGTTGGAATGGTGACATTTGGGAGTTGAGGGAGAATTTTAACAAGTAGTCCAGTCTTCCCTTTTTTGTAGAAATAATATTTAGGAAAGAAAAAAAGCAGATCTCTTGAAGGGGAATAGGAAATGATATTTTAACAAATACCTTCACCTGTTAGAACCTTTATACAGGCTACCATTACACTTCCCATCAGCTTCAGAGGGGAATGATCCTCATTTTGTTAGTAAGGCAATTGAAACACAAAGAATTAAAATTATTCATGAAAGACACAAACACAGTATGTGGCAGAATCAAGATGTAAAGTTCCAATTGTCTGAATTCCCAGACTAGGCTTTTACCATTTTATCCACGGCTTCTGACTCCCAAGTTCTGTTCGTACCACAGTGCCTCATTAAACTGTATTTCCTCAGTTTAGAGGGTAACATCTACATCAAGTTTAGGAAAGTTCACACAATCCATATTGCTATCAATTACCAATCAGTGCATATGATTCTCTTTTTTTACTGCTCTGCATTGTTGTTTAAAATAACTCATTTGTTATCAGTGATGTAATAATTTATATTACTAAAACTTGGTATTTTAAACCCAGTCCTGTTTTTTTTTTTATTTGGTCTTAATGTATAAGTTTAATGGGAAGTGGTAGTTATTTACATCTGGTAAATTTGCATCTGGTAGATGTTGTAAATGATGTAGGATCTGATAAAGACTGAAAAAATTCAAATATTTTGAAACTTAGTGCTCCCTATATAAAAAGCAAGCAAATTTTTAGATGAGGGAATTGAATTGGCTTTCCTTCTTTGGAGTCAGGTTAGAACCACAGCCCTGTCCTAGACGAGTGTGCCCTTTGGTTATTTGGTTTTGTTTATTTATGATTGCTGAGGTAATTTACAGCAATGTGTAAAATGCCCCTGTCTGACTGAGAATACTAACAATAACTTATCAATTAAATGAAGTTTAGGAATTATGTTTTTTTAATATTTATGCATTTTGTATGAGAGTAACATACCATGCCACAAACTTCCAAAATACTTTACATAATTCTGTTTCATTTACATGTAATTTGACTAACGGACTGAGTGTTGACAAGGAATTATATCTTATCATATTTTCAGTGCCAAAATATTTATTTATGTATTTGTTTATAATGCAAATGCATACATTTTTCATTTCTTCCTAATGTCCTAATTGTTATATATCCTTTACTAGTATGGCTCTTATAAAAATGCTTTCTTTAGTCTAGCCAGTTTTGAAATTATACATTAAAATCTTAAGTTTTATACACATTCCCTTCACAGAATTATAGGTGAAATTTATATTCATGAAACAGAATAGTGTCAGTTTACTCTCCCTGTCTGCCTTGAATGTAGACCCATTTTTCTCATCTATAAATATAGGGTTCCAAATTGTGCTACATCACATTTTAATCTGCTGTTTCATCTTCCTATATTCTTTAGAAAAGAATATGTGTTTAGTAAAAGAACGGCCTTCTAGGTTGTATAGATCTCCCTGAATGCAGAGTAAAGAGTTACTGAGACTCTCTCTCTTTCATGGAAAATACTTTTAGCATAATAAAGATAATTTAACTTTTCTGCTATTTATTAATTATTGAATATTTTATTACCTAGAAATTTAATTGTAGCTAAGTACTAGCATTAAATTTATCTCTTTGACAATTCTAGTTAATTTAATATCACTTTTTTTTTCAGCTAAATTTAAAACCTTTATAACAAACTTCAGAATTCTCAAATTGAGTGATGCGTCTTACAGTACGATGAAATTTTTTTTTTGGTCAGAGGTGTTCCTGATAATCTCTTAATTAATCAAACTTGGACTGGAAGGCTTTCACTGCCGAAAGTAGTCAGCCCTGCCATGTCTGAAAGGGCCTGTGTAATGTTGGCTGAGCCATGCTTCAGTTTACCCAGAGAGATGAACTGAAACTGGCGGCGAGTGGTCCTCCCGCAGCTGTGCGCGTAGACAGACCTGAGCCTGGGAGTAGCCGGCTGGCCACCACGTTTGCAAAGAAGTGTGTATTATTAATGTTTATACTCTAAGGAGATTTAGTCAAAACACAAAAATTGCAATCTATTTTATGTCTGAAAGTTTTAGCCAATTGTTACCTAATTTGGTTGTGAAAGTTATAGTTTCTCTGATTAATAATCTGCTATACTTTCTTAACAGCTGTGCTTACACTATAATTGAAACAAAATGGAGAAATGAAAATGTTCTTTCTAGTACAAAGTAGCTGAACTTTTTAAAAGTGTTTATTTTGCTATGCCTCTGAGCTGATGACAATTTTGGTTTACTAGACTTTTCTGGTAATTATGAAGCTAGTCGTGATTTAGATTTATAATTACTTAAGCACTGAAGGAAAAAAACTTCTGTAGTTAGAGTTCTAAATCAAATGCTTTCCCATTAGCGATACCTGAGGGGTTTTGTAGTCCCACTTACTAATTGATTACTAGATAAGTTAAGGCGACTTTCTGTTTTAGGAGGAATTCGGCTATAACGCAGATACCCAGAAGCTGCTGGCTAAAAACGGAGAGACTCTTCTTGGAGCCATTAATTTTTTTATCGCCAGTGTGAACACTTTGGTGAATAAAACAATTGAAGATACATTAATGACTGTGAAACTGTATGAAAGTGCCAGGTTGGTATAAATTTCACTCTATATTGTCTGTTTTACAGATGTTATGCGATTCAGTTATGGTTTTTGGTTGCAAATAAGAGAAACCGACTCTGGCCGATATGGACAGGAAATAAATGTGTTAGGTTATAGGATAGCCTATGGGACTATCAGAAAAGCAGGAGAACAGATGCTAGAAACAAGCAAGAACCAAAGCCAAGACAATGCCTCAAGACTCTAATTAGAGCCTTGATGCTGCCACAAGGACCATAAGTAATTCCCAAAGGCCCCTGAGTACTTGCTTCATTGCCTTGAGTGTCCGATTGCAAAGTCATGGGCCCAAACCCTGCCTGCTAGGGAATAAGGAGGTGAAGGATCTCCCAGCTCCAGCTTCCTTAGAAGGGACAGAGCCTTTTGTTCTACTGGTTGACACAAATGCCCTCTATAATCTGGCCTAAGGCTACCTTTTCGCCCTTTTTACCACTGCCTCCCTCTGTAGGCAGTTCACTGCTTCCACAGCAGCCAAATTCATAGTTTCAGACAAGCTCATTTTTGCCTCACAGTTTTGATGGTGCTGTGGATATCAACTCCTCTTTTATCCAAATTATAACCAGTCCTCAAACTTTCAAATTTTGCCTTTACGTAAATTAAATGTTTGCCTTAATTTCCGTAGATTTTAATAATGCAGTGTTTTCGTACATTTTATACACACACAATTTCTCATTACCGTCCTGTTAAATAAGCAAAGTACATATTAATCATTACTTGTAAATGCTTAAGAAATAGCTGACCCATGACCTGTGATGGCATTTTTCAACTGATTCCAGGTCCAATGCCCCCTGCCCCTGTCTAGTCCCCTTGAAGTCTTTTTCTTCTGACCACTTGAAATCTTCATTTTCTGTTATACTTTTTGTAGCATAGTTGAAGTGTAAACTTTACCTTCTAGAAGTATAACTTTACTTTTTGGCTTCTTGCCCTAGTTTAATGATGTGAGAAATGCTTATGTAAACTATAAATTCATCTAGTCTTTTGTTGTTGTTGTTGCAATTGAGTGCTTATTCTCAAGTAGGTATTTTCTTATGCTTTACACAAGTTAAAAACCCAAATCACTTGGAAAGTTAACTTTGATCTTTCCACAAGAAGAAATGCTTCTGTCATAGGCTGTGTTTGTAATTTTCAGTTTAGTATTAACATACGAGGTTCTTAATGACTTGAAAGTGAAGTTCAAGGCAAATAGCTGTGCTTGTCTGGTGGGAGAAGGGCAGAGACGTGGCTGTATGCCATATTTGGGTATTGGACCTGGTTTTTTACTGTATTGTTTGAATTATTTACTAGCATAGTGTTAAAATCAGAAAGTTTGAAGGGAAAAAAACAGAAGGAATCAATCAATAGGACACTCCTCAGTAACACTGAGGGGTCTCTCAGGAAGCCCTCCCTCAGTGGGAGCACCGTCAGTAGCAGCACTCCCAGTCATCGGTGCTCCAGTTTCTGTTTAAGTCCTCCTCTGGCCTTGGCTCTGTGTTCCCAAGGATTCATTTCTATAAATTTTATTTGATTCTTTTCCAAAACATGTCTCTTCCTTATTTATAATGCCCTAGTATGTTCATGAGGAAGGCTTTTCTTTTTTATCTTATCTCCTTAATATTTTAAGCATTCTTGTTTTAATATTTGTGGGGTTTGAAGTTGAAAATTCTTTTGTTCCTAAAGTACCCCCAGTTAAGCACTACACAAATCTAGTTTCCATTTTTCTACTTTATAATTGTCCATCTATTCTGAAATAATATATTTTAGGTACTAAGAATATATTTTTTAAAGACTTTATTTATTTCTTTTTAGAGAGAAGGGAAGGGAGGGAGTAAGAGAGGAAGGGAAACATCAGTGTGTGGTTGCCTCTTGCACATCCTCCCACTGGGGACCTGGCCTGAAACCCAGACTTGTGCCCTGACTGGGAATCAAACCAGTGATGTCTTGGTGCACAGGCTGTCACTCTGTCCACTGAGCTACACCAGCCAGGGCTCACATGTTCACATCTTATTATAAAAAATAACTTTCATATCTTATTATAAGAAATCTGACAAAGTATAGTGTGATATAAGATCTCAGCTTATCCAATATATAGGTTTGTTTGAAACTTTTGAACAAAATTATGAATCACGTTGTATGTACTTGGTAGCTGGTTGTCAGGAAACCTTTTAGACTCCTCTGCGTGTGCTTTAAAACCCACCACCAACATTGACTGCACCCTCATAATTTGTTCTTTTTATTGGAATTACAGTATATGATTGTATTCATCAAGCTTAACTTGGGATTTGACTTTCCTGTGCTTTTTATGAAGTAGCTAAGGGATTGACTAGTTGTAACACTAAAACATTGCCTACTGAGGGCTAATATTTAAAAAAGAATCCCAGATTAAAAGTTTCTCAGTAGCTGAATTTTCTCCTCTGTCAAAACCAGAATTTATTGACTTTTAGAGCAAGGGTCAGCTATTTGATCCAGCACAGAAAGTGGCAGTTTAGGCAAATGAACGGTGGCCTTTTAATGCTTCCCATTATGCATTGTGTACAAGTATTTCCTACCCCTCTGGTGCTTCGAGTATAGAAAAGCTTCTAACAGCCCATTCAGCACTTCTCCCCAGCAGCACCAACAAGGGAGTCGATTGTGGTCCAGGCTTTTCAGATGTGGACACCTGTTCTCTGGAAATTTTACATAACCATAAAGCAACAACTATCACTAAACTTACTGATCTGGACTCAATTCAGAGTGGCAACCTTGAAGAGTTGCATTTTGAAAACTTGGTGGGCTTCTCTTTTGGGTTGTCATGAACACTGTCAGAGAAGCTCTTATGGAAAGTGTCACTTTAATACCATTTACAAACTCTGGATGTAAAAATTAAGGGAATATAAGGTCAGTATTATAACTTCAGTTATGTTTAAATTAATCACTGTTGTTTTAAAATGTGCTCCAAGGCATCGAAGGATATTTGTCTTCACATTAAAAACCACTGTATGTTACTATTTATTTTTGTTCTGCTCTTTTCTCTTTTACTTTTTATTGTTTTTACTATGTTTGCTTCTGGCTATTGATCTTCTAACTTGGCCATAATAATGAGCACTTTAAAGATAATAGTTATTACCTGCTGTCCTAAGTACTTTATATAAGTGAATTTTTGTGGAGATGATTATTCCCACTTATTGATGAAAAACTGGAGCAGGAAGATAACTAGCTGAAGATGTTAGAGCCAGTGAAGGGCAGGGTGCCGTTCAGGTGGCTATAGGGGACCCATGGCACTTAACTAACTTGTTGGCATCACAAAGTCAGTCTCACTCCTAAATCTTTGGTATCTGTCCCCTTCTTAGCTCCACGGCCGTTGTCCTGATTCAGTGACTCGTTTTTCTTTTGCCCATAGTCAGTCTAAGTAGTTTTCTTGCTTCTGACTTCTCAGTGTTCAACTCCAGTTCATCCTCCATTCCTTACACTACCACTATAGTCATCGTGTTCCAGAACAAGCAAGGGGGCCAAGGTTCATCATGTCCCCCACCACAGGAAAGACATCTCTCAATGCCAGAGATTTGTGAAAAGGAAAGGAAAGGTTTATTTAAAACTATACAGACTTGAAGTAGTGACCCAATGTCCCCATTAAAATCAGGATACTCATAGATGCCCACAGTGCTTCCTTTCCCCCCTGCCCTAATTTGGGGCACTGTAACTCAAGAAAAGAGCACACGTCCGCGTTTCAGGTTGCTGGCACCGTCAGCTGTGTCGCTGTCCAGGCAGGATCTCCAATCAATCCAAAGCCATGTGGCACCTTCTCATGGCCTACTGGCAAAGAATTCTTTCACCCTTCTTCCAGGCAAAGTCTCTTTTTTCCTTCACCAGAGCTGCAGGGGTCAGCACTCTGGCCCAAACCACGTGGATCTCCCCGTAAAGCTGTGGAGAGGATAGGGTCACCACTCTGCCAAAGCCAAGCCGCGGTTCTCTGCTAAAGCCGCATGGTGATTCTCTCTACCCCCAGGTGTGGGGGTCCCCACTCTGGCAAAGTCAAGTGGCTCTCTACTGCCACAGCCATGTGGTCCTCTCTCCTTTGCACTGCCACAGCCGTGTGGTTCCCTCTCCTCTCCTCCAAAGCCTGGGGGCGGGGGTTGCCACTCTGCCAAAGCCGAGTGGCAGTTCCCTGCTAAAGCCACATGGTGGTTCCCCCTACTAAAGCTGTGGGGACCCCCACTTTGGGGAAGCCTCGTGACTCTCTCTCCTTCACATGGCTGCGGGAGTCCCCACTCTGCCAGAAGTGAGTGGCCTTCTCTCCTCAATGGCTGCTGAGTCTTGGGTTTTTAATCCCTGCACCTGCCCTCCTTTGCAGCCCCATTTCCAGCTCCTCCTACAATCGGCTACACTTGCCAGCACTCCCATATTATTCCAAGTTTACTGGGCTGCCTTCATGAGTCTGGGCATGTGTGGCCCCATGTTATGGAGCCAGTCATCTCCAACTTCTCATGCAGGTGCTGTAACTCAGGGGACATGCCCCCAGTTACATCTTGGGTGGAAGTCACTTCCATCCCTCTGGCTCAGAGTGTGGCCACAGCTATTTAACATATCTATGTAACCAGTTAAAGGTTATATAGATATGTTAAATGACCATGCCATGGATTAGCTGCAAGGCTGTGGCTGTACAAAACAGCTCTCAATGGCCCTGCTCCATTTGTCCCTTCCCCAACTCACACCTGTGGGCGGGGGAGGGGTGGGGGCACCTTAATGTTTTCTAGACACCTTGAGTTCTGGACCCCATTCCAAGTCCCTTTTGGGGGGCCCCCACTTGGCTGCACCCTGTTACAGTCTTTCTGTCCCGAATAAATGGAACATGTTCCTTTCTAGGTCAAAGTTTTTTGGTGGCTTCCTATCATTTGCCTTCCAGATTGAGTCTGATCCTCTTTAGCATGCTTAATCTCAGTCCTGCCTACCTGTTTTAATTTAATTCCCTCCATTATTGTGTTCCAACTTCAGGTTATAACTTACTGAATTATTTTCCAAATGTTTTGTGGGATCTTATGATGGACTGATATGTCTCTGTACTACTCTCTTCCTGGAATGTTCTAGCAATATCCCTACCCCAATCTACCGTGTAAGCTTTTACCATCCTTTACATTTTAATTCTACTCTGAGATGGCTTTCAAATATCTAGTTATGCATTTCTTCATCTTATTTTCTACCCGACCTGATCCCTTTTCATGACAGTTTCCATTATCTTATTTTGTTGTTGTTTAAGAACTTCTCTCCGTCTAGACTGTAAGTGTCTAGAAGATAAACTTTATCTGTTCATCTTCATATCTCTACTTTCTAGCACAGTGCCTGGAACATAGAATGTGTTCCTTAATATTTGTTGAATGGGTCAATGTATCAGTGGATAATCTTTTAGCCCTGATAGATCAAGTTTGTTAGGTTCAGTACAAGTTAAATATAGATGAGGCTCAGTATGAGAGACTGATATATTCTTTCTCAAATCATACATATATTATGTCATTTAAAATATTTTGAATTCTCAGAATAGGAGATGAGACGTGTACTGTAGAGATTTGAATAAAAAGCATTAGTTTCGGGGCATAAATTTAGTGGTGCTGATTTTGACTAAGTTAGAGATCGCTTTGATTTTTCTTGGCTGAGCACGGAGTAAGTGAGACTGCTGGCTAAGTCACTGTTGAATAAGCAAGATAGTATTGCACTCACACAGGTGCCATGGTATCAGGGAGTAATGGTGGGTGGGGTCAGTATTTCACTTAGTGGGGGGAGAATATTGGGGGGAGGAAACTCAGGAAACACAGGGTGTGAGCGCTCTGGAATAGATGCTGTGTCACATTCTGAACACTAGTGTTGTGGGACTCCATCCAGAGTTGTGCTGTCTCGCACGGTAGCCACTGGCCACGTGTGTCTGCTGAACACTGTCTCCTGATTTGAGTGGTGACGAAAGTGTAAAATACACAATGGATTTCAAAGACCCAGTATCTTCCTCCCAAAGTAAAGTAGTTAGTTTATTAACATTTATTACATGTTATGAGGGTAATGTTTTAGATTTTTTATAAAATATGTTATTAAAATAGGTGAAATTAATTTCTATTAATGTGACTACTAAAAAACTAAGTTATGTATGTGGCTTGCATTATATTTCTGTTGTGCATTGCTGACCTAGACTGTACTTTAAGGACTGCTGACCCTCTGTATAACCAACTCCCCTTCATCCGTTCATTTAAGTGTATCATTCTAAAGTCTGTCCTCACCTGTAAAGTCTGTCCTCACCTGCTTTGCCTTATCAGTAAACCAGTTCATGTCCTGCATTGATTACTGCAGTTGTTCTTGTGATCATTAGGTTTTGACATCTATTTTTTAACTAGTTTTTACTTTTTGAAAAGTTTACTTGTTGGTTAATACTGTACTTGGGGAGGAATAGTTAATGAATTTAAGGAGCAACTTGTTTCCCTCCATGCTTATATAAATAGTTCTTTGTGTTAAAGAAATGCATCATTTTAAAGGCATGAGGTATACAGTATGTGTGAGAATTGTCATCTATTAAGACATAATACGAGACTACCATGTATTTCCAGCTCACCTCTTGCCCTAACTTCACTCTGTTTTGTAGTGTGCTTCACTTATTCTCTCCTTTCCAGGATTGAATATGATGCCTATCGCACTGATTTGGAAGAATTGAATCTTGGACCACGTGATGCAAACACTCTGCCAAAGATCGAGCAGTCACAGCATCTGTTCCAAGCACACAAGGAAAAATACGATAAAATGCGCAATGATGTTTCTATCAAGTTGAAATTTCTAGAAGAAAATAAGGTGACTTTATTCTTTACTTTCTGAGATCTTTCTGGGGACTTCAGGCTCCCTAAAGTGATAAATAGAAAGTTTTTGTTTCTGTTAACTCTCTCTCATTGCAGTTACAAAATGGAATTTCATCTATAACAAGTGTTTGAGTTTTTAGAAGTCCATAAAGTGTATTTACCTTTCTGTCATAAAAGTCATTATCAACTCTACTGCCCCAGTCTTTCACATATAACAACTGGCACAAAATACTTGATCTTCAAAGTGGTATTGGTGTTAATTGCTTTAAAAAGTTATAATAATAGATTCTGCTCTGGATATTTTAAAACCTTTTTATTACCAGTAAGAACAGACTTCAGGAAGAAAAGAGCATTCTTCACATTAACCAATAAATGAGAAGTGACTAAGAAGTTCAACTTAGGACTGTAGTTGACCTAGAGGAAATTAGCCAAGAAATCATGTTATTTCCATGTAACATGAACCTGCCTAAGGACTAGGACAGTGAGAGGGGAGGCAGACCTGCCGTGGGCTTCACTCGGAGATGGATTCATAGAATAATAGGCTGCTGTTGAGTTTTGGTTTCTGTATAGGTTCCCATTTTAACATTTTTTCCATTACATGCATTCTCAATTTTGTGAGGGAGATTGCAGCTCTGGAAATGAGAGAGTCAGTAGTGAGCACGGTACAAGGCAAGTGAGGTTCAGTCCTGCAGAGATGGGGGTCTTACCAGTGCACATTTGTGGTCCCCTTCCCATGCCTTTCACATCCTCTGAAGTCACGATAGGCCTTCAGCTCTGCTTTCTTTCAGGCACCCTCCCAGAATTTTTCCTTGATTCCAATGGTCTGTTGCTGTCTTCCTGTTTGCCTTAACGTTTCCTCAGAAACTCTTCTGGTTACCACAAAAGCTTCAGAATGATAAGTTGCCTTGAGACCTGCTAAGCCCAGCACTGTCACCTTCCCTTTTTTTAGCTACGATGGGTGGAAAATATCCGATGGGTGGAAAAGATCAGTGTGAACACCTTACAGTGGCAGTAAAGGGAACTGCAGCAGAGTTGTCAGACGGGTTGCTCGGCAGCGTTCAAACAAGAGCCCAGAGCAGCCTGTTAGCTTCCGGCAGCTGAGGGCAGGAGACAGCACCGTGTTCGTCATTCATATATCTGTCCACGTGTGGGTCAGTGGGTCAGTTACATGTGCAACATTTTAATGGGTAAGATGGCATCAATACTTAGATGTATACTTTAAACAGGAAAATAGTTTTTACGTACTGCCCTATCTAGAACAGATTTGCACTAGACAACGTGCTAGAATTTGGGGGACTCTATCCAAACCTAATTTGAAGGGAAAGAATTTGGGGGTTCACAACCTCTGCGAACAGAGAAAATAGTTTTAGGAAGTTTATAATATGGTAATTGCATTCCATTGGGATCTAAAGGTATTGTGTGCTATTCTCTGGATAGTGAAATTATAGGTAATTTTTGTTTTCTATAAATTTTTCTGTGAAAGGTTGTGTTGCCTTTTTAAAAAGAAGGGAAAGTTATTATGAAAGAATCATTACCTTTAAACCAGCTATGCTCATAGGGGTTTTGCCAGAGTAAGTATAAGTGATCAGAGCACACAAGGATAAGCAGTGGCCATCAATTGCTGCTTCTCTTGCCGTAACTATTTGTGAAACTTGGCAGGAGATCTCCAGATTCAGACATGAATCGGGGGAGGCACTCTTTATGGGTCCGCTACTGTGCAGTTTACCTGCCTTCTCACTCGACCCTCATCACAGCCTTCATTTTGAAGGGAAAGGAGACGGTGACTTAAAGACCGCATGACAAGGCCTGGGAAACCAACATAGAATAGACTCTGGTTTGGCTCAGAGCTTGTGAGGGAGGAGGGTGGGAATTTGTTCTGTGTCCCCCGTGTTTAGTTTGAGAGGATGACACGTGGAAACAGTTGGTAGGGAGTCAGTGGTGTGGGTTTGGAGTTGAGATGAGCAGGGCCAAGGCTTCAGAGATAGAGGTTTGGAAGTGGTAGCTTTGAAGACAATGTCATCATCACATCTTTTTGACCTTTCTTACTATAAAACAATAAAATAAAATTGCCTTTATTCTGAAGGATTTTATGTTCTTAGATAGCCTGGAGATATTCTTTGTTTTTGACTTTCCACAGTTGTTTTCAAGCTAAGTTTCTATTTGAACTCAGTAATCAGGTATGTCTAAAATAGAATCTATAAAGAAACTCAAATCTTTTTATCTTTTTCATCCTTCAAAACTATAAAGAGGTAATGTGGGTCTCTGTTATTTTAAGCAATAAATAACTATAATTTGGATGAAGATGGATCCATAATAAAACTCTTGTTTTTTTCTTATTTTTGTTGAGCAACTTATTTTTACCCTTTTAAAAAATTGTTTATAGCTCTGCAGGGAGGAAAAAGCAAGCCGAAGAAACTGTCATCTGCATTTGCTTTCTTGGCAGTTTGAAATTCCAGAAATCTGGGGGATTTTGTTCTTTTGTTAAACTACAGCCAAATTTGTACCTTAGTCAAGTAATCTACTTAGAACTTGAACTTAAACAAAAATCCATATATTCTTTCCATTTCTTAAATATTGTATATTGAATTTTTTTAAACAAAGATATCTGAAACATCAGTGAGTGTGCTGTTTTGTAATTTGATGGTTTCGTAAAGGTTGCTGCTATTTTTAAAAGCTGTTTTTGCATCTTTCCAGAGGAGGCGTCAGGGCTCCCTCCTGGCTCTCAGATCATGGCTATTGGGTGGCTTCCCACAGCAACCCCTCCCTTCTACAAGGTGCTGGATAAGCAGACACTGAGGATGCCCACACAGCAGGAGCAGACAATCACTGAGTGAAAGACTAGGGACCATCCTATGGCTATTATAATACATATTAGTGGGCAAACATTGTGAGAGCATTTTGTTTGTTAGGGCCTTAAAACTTTTTAAACATTTTTTAGAGGGATTGAAAAGTAGATTGTTAGCTATATTTTAGAAAAGTGAGGTGTTTATATGCAGGTAGCCTAACCTTCCTTTCCTGGCAAAACAAAGGGGACAGGTATGTAAAACACAGTCAGTCCCGTGTATGTGCATGCATGAATGCTGAGTGATAGGTGCACATACCTGTATTTGTTACAGATTTCTGACTCTTTGTAGAAATAGTCTTATTCTTAATGGAAAGCATTGAATTCTTCTATTGTTTACAATCTGTGCTCTCTATTCATCCATCCCCGTGTTATACGTGTTTGTCTTTAACCTAAACAACCCTTATTAATCTGATACCCTCCTGTTTATTAAACAACATTGAGTTGCATAGCATTAAGGACAGAGTTAATCAGCCTTTTCCAATGTTTGTCCTTTCATCAGTATTTCTTTTTCTAGACCCTAAATAATGTAACTTGAGCTGTCCTGTGTATTAAGTCAGTTTATTTTTCTTTGATTGTTCCTTTCAAATTTCGAAACAGAACACAGGCTACTTTAGTAAAGAGAAAAAAGTAGACATTTCTGTCTTGTAGACTTTGTGAGAATAGGTACCAGGCCTTATTTTACGGCGCTCATGATGCCTAGCAATGGTATTAAATGTGCAGTAGTCATTTAGCAAATGTGTGTTTGCATTTCCTCCAGAATTAGAGGTACACGGAAGGCAAGTGAGAGAGATGGGAGTGAGTGTCAGCTAGCATGGATGGAAGGACGAATCCTGATTACCCCCCCGTTTGCCTTCTCTAGTGAGAGGGCAAAGCGTACTCTCTCAGAAAGGCCTCTGTTGTCTGCAGTGTGTACTGTTTGCATAGAAGAGGAAGCAAAAAGAGAAAAATGTGCAGATCATTGTGAGCAACCCATGTTTATTTTTTAAACAACTTTTATATGGCATGGAATCACATAGAATATGAAAAAAGTGATTTAAGATTAATAATGTTTCTAGTTTCTATACTTTAACTTGGAGGTAGTAAATCTCTCTTCAGGGTTATTAGTATATTAGGGAAGAAAAGAAAACTGTGAATGTGTCAATGATTTAATGAAGCATTTTAGGGTATAAATAAATAATAATAGTAATAGTAATAAACATTTATGGATTGATATGTGTAAGTAGAATAAGCACCCTCAACACTGTTTCAGATATAATTACCTACATTTGGGTCCTGTGAAACATTCCTTTACCCATGTAACTTTACTTCCAGACTTAATTCCTCAGGGTATTTCATCATGTAATCAATATAATTCTGTGTTTTGATTGTCCTTTTTTCCATTCAATTAACAAACCTTTTTTTCAGGTATATACCATGCCAGTGTTAGGGGAAAAATAATTTCCTCCTGCGTTCTGAGTTCTGGCTGGTCTAATTAAATTAACATGAGACAGAGAAAATGTCCAAAATTTATTACAGATTCATGTGCGGGTGTCATAAGAATATGAGACCCCAGGGCATTGAGCAGTTGAGGTTTATAGGCCATTTTGGACAAAGGAGATGGGGTCAGGGGTCTGGGATTTCAAAGGGGAAGCAGGTAGTTTACAGGAAGATGAGAAGGAGCAAATGTGTGGTAAAGGAAGTTTTAGCTGGGCCACTCAGAAACAGTGAGAGACGGGGAATTCCAAGGAGCTCTGCGGGGACCCTCCCTCAGCCACATTTAGTTTGTGTTATGATGTTAAGGTCATGCTCCCTGTTGAGGTAAAGCAGGTTTTTTGTCTGAATTTCTTTAGTCAGGTGAGGGGAAAGGTCAGAGTTTCTCTAAGTCTTTTGTTTCTTAATAACCAGCCTGAAAATAATATCCCAAAAGGTGTATTTTGGGATGGCAGAACTTTAGTCCCGGCCTCACCAAAGAAGTGGTCTGGATATGGGTGATACCCAGTGAGCAAAGTAAACACGAATTCTACCCTCAAAGAGCTTATAGGCTAGCAAAAATTAGGACTTTGATCAAGTCATACTCCCAAACAGATATAGTTTTGGTTGTGATCAGTGCTTTGAAGTAGAGGTCCATCGTTGGTTAAGAGTGGTCGGGCAGGCTTCCATGAGAAAGTAAC